TTTCCGTATCATATTATTCAATCCAAATCTCGATGTCGTAATACTGTGAGCATTCCTGTGAGACTCAGCAACAAAAATGTAAATCACCGAGGCAGATGGTTATAATAGAACAGGTGTGGCTATGGCCTGCCTGCCTGCCTACCTGCCCGCCTTTATAAGGTTTATATATGCCCCTAATGAATCTGCGTGCGTCCGCATAGCTCTGGTACGCTGTATTTTATTCTTGGAATATGTCAAGACAAGCAAGCAGTTGGCCGGCCGGCAGTTAAACAAGTGATGACGCGTTTACGGGACCTTTCCTAGCAACAAAAGCTACCGACTTGTTTGCTACACTGCACTTTCACTAGCAGGCTCTTATTAGGACTCTGCATGCATTTTGCCATTGTTTAGTACCTTGTTGTTTCATCGACATTCTGCGAAGTCTTCAAACCACATCATCCATTGCCATCTATTGTTTGTTCATGAGCTGGCAAATATATTTTAAATTGACGGTCAATGTTTTCTGACGAACCATGAATTAGTATCGATGGCGCAGATGATTGAAGATGCGGTGTGTACAACGACAGACAAGGCAAGGCGTCTATACTGACTCCGCGATGATTACGGTTAATGAAACAGACACGCTCTCGCTGTTAGCGTCCAAAGTAGCTTGCAGTGATACACTTGTACCGCTACATGTACTTATGTACGAAAAGGCAGACGGCGAGGCCAGACCAACGATAACTCCTTTCCACAAAACGAAATCGTTTTTTGCTTCACGTTTCTTTCTTTTGACCTGATTAGAAAATGTTCGACGTTGCTCTTCCTCATCGGGCACCCGTCGCCTCCAGCTGATCCTCCTCGTTCTATAAGCAATGCACACGCAACCTTCTCTCACAAATGACTCAGTAGCATTTTCGTTTTCTTTTTCCGGTTATTTTTTTCTCTGTATTTCGGCAAACTACCAGCTTCTCGAACGCGATGTGCTACGCGTTGTTGTTGTTGTTATATCGCTAATTATAGCATACAAACTCACATGCCGCGAGGAGAACGACGACCAGGATCACATTTGTAGCTGGCAGCGTGGAACGACCGTGTTGGCGGCTGTGACTGTCGTTCAAGTAGGGACAATCCCAGTTGGCAATCAAACTACGCCGCGACAATCAGTAGAATCCCTTCTACGGCGATCGCGGCCACTACGAGCTGTGGTAGCAGCTACAGTTAAAGTATAGCAGGCCATTAGTTACTGTTCCACGACTGCCTAGACCCTCTTTTACCTAACCTATATTTTTGCCTGCCTGTCTGTCCATTCGCACTGCTGCTGTTCCTCATACCAGTATATATAGCAGAGTAGACCGCCGTCGGCTTATTTGTTTGTTTGTCGATATGTCTACCCGTTCTCTCAGTTGTCCCGACTACGGCCGTTCTACGTTCGAACAAACATCTGACAGTTTACATTTGGAGCTTTGAGTTGTTTCAGCGTTCTACACTGGCGGAGGTCGCCGCAAAGTTGCTAGTTCGTTTACTACCACGCACAACTACTCATAGTCTCTTTCTTTGGATCAAATTCTTCTTCCTGAATAGGAAGTCGGTGGACGGCGCGTGTTGCATAGCCGCAGACGCACAGCCACAGCAAGTCAGCCCAAAAACCGCGACAGCCCATTACAATGTGAAAACGTCGTGCACGTACCATGTAGATACGGAACGAACCAGACGCTGTAGAGTCTCATAATGTCCCAATATATTAACACTCATGTGGTCTTTCATACGCGGAGACAGAGATGCGTCCGATCTCATTATCGTCAATGTCGTTTGCTATGCTGTTGTTTCTCGTCGTGGCTCACGCTAATGATACGACGACCACTGCTGCATTCGCAGCGGTCGTTGCAAGAACCAGCAGTCAGGCCGACCTAAGCCGTCCAACCCAGCCACAGCTCAGGCTATTGCACCAGCGACTTAAAAAGCCCTGTAGCAGTCTATAAAGGCAGCAGAGTTGCTGCTTGTGATTTGGCTGCCAGTCGTAGGAGTGGCAGCCATCCGTAGTTTAACTACGATCTCGTTGCGACGGTTATGATCCCAATGGTGGCCTAACGCTATATGCGGCTAAAATAACCAGTGTCAGCCGCGACTGCCGAAGCTGACCAAATCCACTGTAACCTCTGGCAAGCAAGGACGTGCCTCGCGCCAGGATGACCGGCGTTGCAGCAAACGCTGGCTGGCGGGTCGTCAGTGGAACTGGACAGACGAGCAAACTACAGTGGAGCCTCAAACTGGCGCGTCCAATCAGGCGCTTGAATGTCGCCGGTTAGCCTTTGCGGTGACTGATACTTGAGTTAGCGATAAACACGTGGCGTAAAGGGGCACTCGCAAGACCCTGTTTTGCCTACAAAGCCTTTTGCTCACAGTCATGCTCAATCTTCCCTGCAGAAACTCCTTGACTTCTACGATTAGATGTTCAGTGAACACATGCACTTTGCCGCTGGCAGCTGCTGTATTTCATCCTATTATTTGGTGTCGTTCTACCGCAATAAGAAGCAAAAACTGTTTCAAAGGCCATTTGATTAAAAAAAGACTTAAGGCAAGTTTCAATGCATGTAGTACCAAGTCAACGCCGCGACTGCTGGCGCACAAGTATAAATTCATCAAGTATCGTACCGGTCGATCAAAGATCTTCCCACGCCGTTAGAAGCAGCACCAGCTCAAAAGCAATAGTCACTGATTCTAAATGGAAATAAACCATTTGTTTGCCCCAGTCTAGAATTGACGAACTGCTGGTAACGAAAACTATAAAAAAAAATATGCCGGCGACGATGCATTGTTCGTAACCAGCTCGAGGCTATAGATTTACGAACACGGCGTCGGAGTGACGAGCGAAATATCTGGAAAAAAAATGGAACAAGCATCAACTATGTGCTCTGAAATAACATGTGCACACTGATAAATAACGGCACTAAGAGCGAAGGTCACCGTGGTCTGCCTAACTCAGATCATGTCAACTGACCCCCGCGCAAGCGTCTTCCGAGATTCCACTGCGCTACTTAATTTTTGTTAGAAATTTGAATACGTTTTGTTAACTATTTGTGGACCCGCGAATTCACCTACATAATATGTATCCGAATGATACACGCATGTCACCATTACAAGATTGGCGCTATACAAACAAGGCGCTCGTTTGTTGCTGATCCGTCAACTTATGAGCATTTGGTACTATTATTAGCGATTCCCCGAACGAAATATGCAATTGGACAACCACGGAAACGCTAACGATAACAAGAAAGGCATAAAACATGGGTTTCACTTAGTACCTTTTCTCTGTTATTGTTTATGCTGACTGGCCCGTCGGCAACACGACGAATCGATGAACGTCAAGACTTGCCGACCGTGGCAATATGACTCAAAGCCGTCAAGGTAAAAAACCGTAGCCCGCGCATCGCGTGATAGCAGCCGCGACGATGATGACTTTTCACTTAATTGCTGGTTACTTTTCCGTGGCCCTTCACCTGTCGTTCCCTTGCCGCCCGTAGCTGGCAACTCCATTTCTTGGCAATACTTCTTACCGCCCGACGAGTAACAAAAATAACATGACTGAATCGAGGTGAACAACAGCACAATCCGCTTCGCCCGCCCCACCATCTTTGCCTGTCCGCCATCGTTATCCTCGAGATTTGCCCGTTCGCTTCGGCCTGGCTTCGTTTCGATCGGCTTACCCCGTAGCTGTCAGCTATCTATTGCCTCATCGGCGCAACAGTCAGCACACACCGAATGCGTCACCAGCAGTAGCAAGTTCACTGTTTCGCCTGCCTTTGCCGCGTTGTATTACGCGGCACTCGTACATCTAAATACGAGTAGCGATGGCGTCGGCAACGACGATGACGTTAGAAAACGCCAGCTTTCCTCTCTAGCGAGAACAAAGACGGCAGTAATAGCACAGCAGTGGTATCATCAGCCAGCTGAATAGCATCGAAAGTGCTACCAACAACGACCAACACCATCTTACTGCAGCCCAACTCGATCAGCCCAACGATGTAGAAAAAAAAACGTGGATGTACGTATGTACTATGTAAGTGCTTGTTGTATGCGTTTCGCGAATCATTCCGATCTGTTTGTTCAAGGTTCGAACGTTTCTATCCATCCAGCTGGTTAAAAGCCGTGACGGTAGTCACAGCAGTCCGACACAGCGTGAACAAACGGCCGAAGTAGATAGCGAGAACAGCGGCTGTGGCAGTAACGACGTTCAGTCGTTACGAGTATCCTAGCGAGCAAATAAGTAAACCGAACCATAGTGCACAAATAGAGCTTGTAGCCTTTGAGGTCTTCGTTTGTGTCATCGACCCCCTCGTATGAACAGTTGCAAGAATAGACTTATGATATAACGTCCTCGGTTAGTAGAAAGCTAAATCACTTAACAGAGTCAGACGACTGGTACGATATGTGTGGGTGCGCGCTTATACTGCCATGCGTCTCTGTGGCGTAGATTCTCAATCTATTAGAAGTCTCTCATATTTGATGGTGGTAGCTGACGCTCATCTATTCGGTTCTTTTTCACGTCATGTAGCGTGCTCCAGGCTTGATTCATTCTCATTAGCATGCTTTGTCGAACAAAGCAGATGAATATGTGTATCCGTAAAGTGAACAGCACCGAGAGGATTCATTCAACTACTGACACGCAGATACACGCCTACACATCAATACACGCACACAGCAGTATAACGAGAGCTATATATATATACATATATATATGGATTCGCAGGTGTTTCATATATGTGCGGAAGCACACAAATTTTCATCGGTACCAGAGGAATCATTACCAATAATTATCGCACTGATTCAAATGGCTAATAACTCTGTCTTTCGAAACAATGCTATGACGTAATAACTTAGCCTTCGTCGTCAACATATATTTCATCGCTATTTACGTACGCGACCATAATCTGTTGGAATTTTAGAACCTACTGATTGATCTGCTTTGTTTTTTTATCTAACCTAGCAATCTAACCATTGAGGTTGCCGTTCGTACTTACCCTGCTTGCTGAAAATGCGGTTCTTAAGACCGAGCACTGTTTCTGTGCGGGGCACGCGCAGATGGAGCACCTGTCCAGAGATGGACTCGACCCTTAGCCGGATATCTTCGTCATTGTCGGCTGGGGCCGGGGGCACAGCAGAGCCACCCGACATCTTCGCACGTTTCGCCGGGAGCCGCACGGCGGACCCTGATTGAAGCTACGACCACCTGAAGTTATCAGCGAGAACGACACGTATTAGTCCCGTTCGGAATTCTGCATTTTGTAGCCCTGACTCGTCTGAACTACAATGTGTCACCAATTAGCGTTTAAATAGGCTTTGATTTGTAAGATAAAACAGTGTAACTATGGCGAACAGACTGTCCCTGTCTCAGCCCATTATAGGGCAAACAGCATTTGCGTTAGCTGATCAATAAACTTACCCGTTCTATCTTATGGAACGGAAAAAGGATTGTTTGCCTATTTATGTTTACATAAAACCAAACTCCACAGAGGACTGCACAAAAATGCCACTTTGCATTCACAAATTCTCACAACACACGAGTACTAGCAGTAAGAACACATCCACCAGCAGGCAGCGCCAGAGCAACAGATATAGTGCGATAACGCTGATGATCAAATCGGCGACGCTGACAATAGCCGACTGATTCTTTAAAGTAGCAAATTACTTCTGTTTCAGTATAACAGAAATCCTACGTATATACGCTACTATTCTGTTGGCATTTATCTATGTTTTCCTCATGAATATCATCATTACTCTAATAAGCGCTGAAGGCGCGATCTCGTCGGTTTCTGGCCCGCTGCACTGTTGGCCACAATGCACGACGCTGCACGGGATGTTCGCGATCTCCCCCTCTTGAGGCGATTGCAAGGAAACAACAGACGGCATTACAAGCAGAAAGAAATGCACACAGATTATCCAGGCCGACAGATACAGAGAGAATGTACGTGGTTTCTTAGCATCGATTGCGTCGCGTTCAGTTGTGTTGTACCCCCTGGTGTCCTGCTTACTTGTCAGTGTCTGCTTTCGTCTCGACCCTCGGAACATTAGCCCCTACAGTGAGAAGAGCACCAGGTCAGCATAAATGTATGAATAGAACGGTGAAAGGTAGTTCTTGTACGCATCGTCGTATTCGAACTCCGCCCCTACCGCGGGCTGGCTGGTTGGCTTATAAGGCAGTTACTGTTACATAGGCACTTCTACAGTGACGAGGGCGCACACAGACTACTATCCACCATCTATGTATCCATTTCACTGAAACAGCGGACTAATTGCAGTCGTCATCGAGGCAATAGCAAGCAGCAACGGTAGCATCAGCGACGCGGCCGGAAGCGGCACAGTTTGTGCGAATACTTATTTTTTTTTACCAGCGTTGTCTATGCTGCCACAGCACCACTCCCGGCGGCCAGTACCCGTTAGCAAAAGCGGTTTTGATACCACGCTCGACTACGCCCGATGACAATGTCCACCACTGCGAGTAACTCTCCAGTGAGATCGCCGAAAAACAAAACATGAATGAGAACGAGATCTGGAATCGACAGACGGAGTGTATCAGACGACACGTAGTAGCAATGGCAGAGATAATGGAGGGAGGGCCACCGCGAACGGCGAACACATCTAACGAATAGACGCGCGTCGTGAGAGGCCGTGGCCGATTGCGATAGTCGTGCTTGCACGAGCGCGACGAAAAACGAGAGTAGGGAAAAGGAAGGAGGATGAAAGCGAGCTGCAAGAGGAGGCGCAGGAGGAGGCCAAATGATCGACCGTAGGCCAAAGGCGGTGACGGCAGTGGCGATGGCAGCAGCAGAACGGCAAGTGATGGTAAAAAGCAGACGGAGGCCTTCGAGTAAGTGCCACAGCGCAAGTTGAATATGCGCTGCCAGATTGCATCGTAGTAGGCCCATCTCCGATTTCTGCTAGGTGCGGTGTCATTGCAAACGCAGCGCCAGCTAATGCTGCTTCTGACGCACCGCAACGGTACTTTGCTGAGCTGAATATAGGGAAGACACAAAGATGGTATGGTACGGCGTGGCACGAAAACAAACACCTGACAACGACTGCTGCCAATATGAAAAGAAAGGACTGCTGGACATAATCCTCCCAATGATGGCTAACGTTTTTGAGTCGAATAAAGGTCGATCTACGCTTAGCCGCATCGGTTTTGCTGCCGTTGCGACCGAAAATAACAGCGGGAACAAAGCTCTGTCGTGGCGTGCAGCCGGTCTCCTAATGGCTCTCGGCCTCAGCAAATGAACGTACCACCTATAACTGGCCATCAAACCCAACCCAGAAAGGAGTACTCGCGAGAATGTTTATTAGCCGCTGGTCTATGTTCGTCTGCTACTCTCTCTTTCAGGGTCGTTTCTCTTTTTCTGCAATATCATGGTACGATTGCACTATGAACGCAAATTAAATGTAATGAGATAGCCAGTAACATGTACATGGTAGTTATCAGGAGGGTGATTACCTTACAACATCTCACCCCCCAAAACGGCGCTTAAATACGGGTTTGTACAGTCAATATTTTCATGGGGTAATACATCATACCCCACTCGAACTGTCGGCAATTAGATATCTTACCTAGTCGTTAGGCTGTGCAAGCGTTTCCACACTTACTACGCTGCAGATTTGAATCACATAACTATGTACTTAGTGGAAATTCCGTTTAGTTCTCTATGTAGACACTCAGGGTGGCCTTTGCGTTTCCGAAAACGCGTAACAAATTATAAATTTACGACCAGGACAGATAGATTAGGAGCCCTAAAGTGGAGCAGAAAGCAAACGATTCCAATTATTTGTATCGTCTTGATCCTGATGCGACTATGATGTCCTTATAGATAAAATTATAATTAATACACAAAGTTTCTGCGGCGTAGAAACGAACAACTGATCAGAAGAAACGTTACAAAACAGCTGATTAACTCAAACTTACTTTACTCCAAAACTAATTTCCCTAGAGAGAAATTGTGGTCAACCTTTTTGAAGCGCATATTACAAATTAATATGCTTATAAAATATGTTTGCCATTGATAGGTCGACAACTTTAAAAAGAAGATACATTCGTATTTTATCGATTATATATGAGCTTACATGCTACTTACACATGCGACATTAGCGCATATTGTGACGATACAATTTAGTTACAGGTTTCGCTTATAATAACATCAGTGAAGGCCATTTTGTATCCTTTACGTCTACCAACAGTCGACAAATACAGACACAAAATATAGTAATCAGTACACACTTTCTTGGGTATGGTATGGTATGCGAATTTTAACATACAAGCGTTTTCGATACCAGCATGTATAGGCAGTGAAGATTTATAAAGGACAGCCTTTCGAAGCTGTGACTTACGGGACCAACGGCGAACCATTTTAACGAAACAACGGCCACCAGCAAGAAGCGCCGTTAAGTGAATACCGAACCAATCTCGACAAATTTAAGATAACGATAAACTTCCCATCCAACACGCTATAGACTTGAACCTATACAGGCATTTTCTCATGCGCAAAGGCTAGTAATATTGCCATAACAACAAGGAAGCTGCGAAAATCGCCAGTTGCCTATGAGTGGAAGTATCGGATAAACCCGAAGCATCAGCTCTCGTTTTGCAGAGTTCTAGCACACACAGTAGGCCGCTATGATCCTTAAAGGTACGGCGAACATATATATAATAACGTACCCTTTATTGAAACGGAAAAAAAAACAACCATTTGGACCTTAAACAACGAGTTCAGTTCGATACACCTTCGTCTGAGACCTCTTAGTGGTTCTTGAGGTATGGGAGAGATTTCGAACAGATACTGATGCCGCGAGGGTTAGAGCTTGCTTTTTGTGAAACGTAGCGCGTTGTCAATTTAACGTCGATGGAACCTTGCCATCCACCATCGTCGATGAAAACATGAAGGGCTAACTTATGACAAACATTAAATACTGTATTCTGTGTTTTCCTGTATCTCTCTATAACTCTACAACGAATCGAATATAAATGTTTTGCTAAATACTGTGGCTGAAGTATGAAGACGTGCAAATGCTTCTGCTTCATTGCGAGATGTTTTGCATCACTCATTCAGCAAGGCGCAAACACACTTGACTTTCTTTGCTACGTCTCCGTAAATATCTCCATGAAAAGTAACTAAAGCTCACTAGCTTGATTGGATATATCCTCTTAAAAAATCTCTGACAAGTAGTAGTAGTAGTAGTAGTTGTATTAGTATATATTGAGCTATTCTAGATATGGTGATATTTTACGCAGACAAAAATAAATCTAGCGTGTATTTTCCGATTGGTATCGACGACTAAGTGTGCCATTTTTTCTTGGCAGCTTTTCGTGTAGGATACTCGAAGCCAGTTAAACTTCAACATATAGATTCTATCAATTAGTTCGTTTCCATGAAGCTTAAAAAAAACAAATATTATTACCGTGAATTTAATTGGTGTAAAACGTGTTTTTCAAAAAAAAAACTTTTCTAGTCCGCGCTGCGTTCCTGGCTAACAAGACGGTTTTTTTTTGTTAAGCTTTGCTGTCTAGGTTTAGCTTGTACCCGCTTTAGTTCTCTCGTTTGCGCCCTATCGTTATTTCTTTGTAGCTGGGTCTGCTTGCGGCCGAAAGAATGACGCTACCATCTATGACACGTGGTTGTTTTTCGCTTGAGACTGCGACGGACGAGAATCGCACAGGCGAGACCAACAACGTCAAATCGCTTCTGGACAACCTGTTGCCACGATGACTCGAGCGTTTTGGCTGTAGTTTACTTAGCTGGCTGTTGTTTTTGGTAGCGGCTGCTATCCCGTCCGAACGACGCTGGACTATGGTGCACAGCGTCGAGATGGACACAAAGCTTCTCGTTTCGACGTACATGTGCGTCTCCATTAACGTCGGCGCTTATCCGTTCCTCCGTCCGGTCTACATTCTGAATCACTTCACGTTGTAGCGGTCCAGCAGGCGGTCGGTTGAACTTCAAGTTTAGCAGACCACCTATTTGTTCCATCAATCGGCGGGTCTATGCAGCGAGCGAGCGAGCTTGTCGTAATGGCGGCAGCGTTGCCACGATGCATTGATTTAGCCAAACGCTCCTTCACGTATGTTGCGATCGAAGCAAAAGTAAGAAAACGAACGACGACAAAACCGAGTCAAGAGAACATCTGCCGCATTAAAATAGCGAGCAACCGTGTGTTGATTGAAAAAGAGATAAAGGGGAGATAAAT